ATGAATATTGCTTTCAAATCAAGATTTTCGAAATTCGAATGAAAACATTGTTTCAAATAAAAAAAAATCGACCGGCGTAGGCGGGATAAGAAACCTCCATTACAATCTTCACCTCGATAAATTGTTTCAAAATATTTTTAGAAGTATTGTCTAAAAAATTAATATAATGTTGTAAAATCGGAATTTCTTGAATCCAAATGAAAATTATTGTATTAAATAAAATAAAAATCTGATCGTAATAGGTGGAGTAAGAAAACTTCGTTCCAATTTTCACCCTTATTTAATAATCTAAAAATCGACACTTTTTTCAAAATAATTTCAGAAATATTTAAAAAAAATCATAATATTGTCTAAAAAAATGAATATAGCGTTTTAAAATCGACATTTTCGGAAATTAAATGAAAATATTATTTTAAAATAAAATAAAAATTCGATCAAATTAGGCATAATAAGTAAATTCCGTTCCAATTTTCACCCATATTAAATGATTTAAAACTCGATATATTGTTTCAAAATTGGGATTTTTGGAATTGACTAGAGGTGAAAATTGGAACAAAGATTTATAATTACCCATTTCATATCGTGTTTTTTTTTTTTTTTGGTTTGAAACGATATTATTTATTTGAATTCGAAAAATGCCGATTTTGAAACAATATTTTAAATTTTAGACTATATTTTGATTTTTAAAAAATATTTCTGAAAATATCTTGAAACAATTTATCGAGTTGACTTTTTGGAATTTACGTAATTTCGATTTTATATTAAATTTTAATTAAAAATAATAATTATGAAAAATCTGTTTTAACAAGATGCAATGCGTGTTGTTAAAAGTACATTTTCATGCAGTGTTGTAAATTGAAGGCACATGCCATTTTCCATCCAACTTAACGGGAAAAATAAACGGCGGACCAATTCTATCAAAAAAATGACATGGTTAAGGACCGATATTTTAACTTCGAATTGTTTAGGGACAACTGTTTTATTCATCCATTACAATAGTCACACGTATTCAAAAGCACAATATATAATACACACACATGCACTCGCGCTTGAAGAAAGCATCAACCGAAAAAATAAAGTACATCTTTAATTCAACAACAGCATGCCGGAGTAGAAAGAATACCAAAATAGAACCAAACATTGGTTGGCGTTTAGTTTTCATGGAGATGGCGAAGACCGATTGGACTTTCCGACAAAATGGGAAAAAAAATTGAATATTAAATTCTTATGCTTCTCATCTTCATCCTTATCTTTCTTCATCGTCTTAGCAATCTCTATCTCCAATTCCAGCTTATGTTTTTGGTTATTTGATTCCACCTGATCACGTAGTATATCAATTTCTCCTTTGAGTCGAGCATTTTCCAGCTGCCCTTCAATTGCCTTGCGTCTGTGCGGTTCGAGCATGAGGTTTGTTTGTTGCTCCGTTGTATGGAGATTGTGATGAATGCAAAGCACTACCCTCCTTCTTCGGTTTTGGGTTTTTTGTAAATTGTTTTCCACCGATTGTACCTAGTGCAGTATCATGCGTATACAACTTTCCACCGATTGTACCTACAACAACATCATGTTTATACGGGTTTCCTTCATTTGTATCTACAACCGTACGTGTATACGGTTTTCCACCATTTTTATCTGCAACCTCGTTCAATAGGGCGTAAAGTTGCTTCAATTGTTCAGATTTCTCGACTTCATCTGTTGTTTTGTTATTAAACAGGACACGCCTGTTCCCGCACATTTTCAGAGTTTCCTATGTCAAAATCACAAACAACTAATTATGGATATTGAATAATTCTTGGACTTCAGAAATCCAATCTACATTTGGATTGAAGGATTTAATTTGAAATGACACATCGACAAATAAGAAAGTGATACTGATTTGAAATTTCTCCCTCAAATCCCTCAATTCATATGCACCCTAAAGATTTAAACCCACTATAAGGATCGGAGACAATTATAACTTCAAATTATTGGCGGGAATCACCTAACATAATAAATACCTTGTTTGTATAATGAGTTCAAATTTAGAGCCAGTTTCACTTCATAAATAATAAGGTAATTAAGTATGAAGATTTTCATACCTTCAAGGGGTCGGGGCAATCAGAACCACCCAAGTAATTATCGAGGCTCATACCATATTCTTCAAATTGATCACCTCCAGTGAAAACTACAATCATATAGTCCATAATTTCGGGGCCGAAAAATTTCTGCAACATCAACACACCATCTTCTTCTTCTCTTGAAAAACGAGTTCTAATTGACACGGTGAGAAGAATTGCATGGATACCATCCTTTGCCATTTCGATGCATTTAAGCCTTTCTTTGTGAACAAATTCAGGATCAGAAGAATAATCAAACAACCCTGAAAATTGTATTTGGTTCAAAAACCCTATATTCTTTTTATATAATCACGAGACCCTATTTTAACCAAAATCAGATTGAAAGTATACTAATTAGTAATAACATATACGTACGTACCTGGAGTATCAATCACCGCAAGAGTCTGTCCATTTTCCATTACAGTTGTTTGCACATCACAAGTGTTAGTAACAGTAGTAGTTGTAAACATTGACTTGAATGCCTTTCTTCCAAGTATGCTATTCCCCGTTGCACTTTTCCCGTCACCGGTTTTTCCAACGAGTACTATACTTTTAGCCGCACTAGGAGGTAAAGCCGACATCCTTCCATAATCTAATTCATTTGCATCTGTTTCCATTAAACTTATCTGCAAAAGACGAACAACCATATGCACTACTTAGGCATGTAATTGTATTAAACCTTTACAATAAACGGCGGTTCCAATAAATACTGCATAATACAGTTCTAAACTTCCATATCTGACAAATAAACATGTGTTCACATTAATGGGAGAATTTAGTAAAAGTTAAGAAAGCCTTGATATATTCCAATTTCGACTCAAAATATTTCATAAAAATCAAAGATCGGAATTTTTTTGATTTAAATTGAAAAATATTGGTCCACATCGATTTTTTTTTTATAGAAATCGGCTGAAGTCGAATTTTTTTAATTCCAATTTTGACCACTCGGAATATTTGAAATTCATGGTGTTCGTGTTCGAACACAATACCTTTTATTTGGCTTGTCTCTCGTACTATGTTGAATGACCACCTAAACAAAAATTTCAGTTGATAGTAAAGTGAATCTTTCAATATCTATATCTCCAACACCATAGTATTTAGGTTTCGAAAACTTTGTTTACGCTCGTCTTTATTTTTGTCATTTATGTTTGTATTTTATTTATTGGAAAAAATACAGTTTTCATCCCTCAAGTTTACATCGTTTTCACATTTGGTCCCTCATATTTTGAAAGTGCAACACTTTTTATCGTAATGTTAGAAAAAAAGATTTCCTAAAAAAACTATAATATCTAAAAAATGTCCCCAAAAGATTGCAAAATGAAAAATAAAGAAAAAATCAGTAACATCATCAATTCAACTTAAATAGGACATTTCTGGAATACTTTCAATGTTATTAGCTAACAATTCCACTTAATTCCGTAAGTAACCTTTGGCCTTTCATCCTATATTCTTATATGACTAATTAGAAATTGGCTTAATTCAACCTCACACCCTTGAAATATACCATTTTAACACTTTGCACCCTCGAACAAATTAATAGCATTTTGCACCTTAAAAACACAATATATCATGCATAATGCACCCCCAAATATATTTTTATAACTAATAAAGGCAATTTAATATTTTTAGTGGTCCTTTAGGAGGCCAAATGTCAAATCAACTTTTTTTATTCATGAATCATTTTGAAACTATAAAAGGGCAAACATTAAAATACATTTCATCAATATATTTAAAAAAAATAATTATCACAAAAAAACATTTTACTAAAAATATCCTTCAACTATTTCGTTATCAAATTACCTGAAAATCATATTTTCTTCCAAATGTTTCTACATAATATTTCAACCAACTACAAGAAAAGATACATCAATCGAATAAGTTAGTGATAAAAAAATATTTTATTCTATTTTTTAAGAAAATATAGTTTTATTTTCAATAATTCGGTGTGATTTTTATTTTTTCGCACTCTGTGTGCTCGAAATTAGGTTGGAGGTTGAAAAAAGTAACAATATCTAAACGTACTATTTTATCACTTTGAACCTTCGAATATAATTAATAGTACTTTGCACCCTGAAAAAATAATAAATCATTCACATTGCACCCTAATTGAAACTTTAAAGTTAATGATGCTGATTTCATCTTTTAGTAGTATTTTCAAATGAAGAAAAAAAGCAATAACATCATCAATTCAACTTAAATAAGACATTTTTGGAATACTTTCAGTATTATCATATAACAATTTCATTTGGCCTTTGATACTATATACTTATTTGACTAAATTTCTAGCCACCTTAAATCGGTGACGGAGTCAGGATTTCAAGTCCGCTATGCAGAATGCGTTAAAAAAATTACAAGGGAGACCCTTTAATGCTAATGTACACAAAAAATAAATTGTATTTCTATATAAACTAATAGAGATTTAGAAATGTTGGGGAGGCCATGGTCTCATTGATCCTATACTGGCTCCACCATACTTACTCGAGTATGTGGTATTTAACCTAGTTATGTCCTCTATTCTAAATGACTTGAACGCATGAGCTAAAACTAAAATTTCTTATTGCTAACATTAAGTCACTTGATTAAGTACACCATAATAGTGGAATCTTAATACTGGAATCTAATAATCAACATATCACTAAAGAACATCTAGTGATAAATGAAAGCACTCACCTTCGGTTCCAAAACTAGCTTGTTTGTATGCACTTTTCCTTCATTTGTATCCACAACCGTAGGTGTATACGGTTTTCCACCATTGTTGTGTGCAATCGTATTTAATAGGTCGTGAAGTTGCTTCAGTTGTTCAGATTTCTTGGCTTCATCTTTTGTTTTGTTATCAAATAGGACTCGTCTGTTCCCGCACATTCTCAGAGTTTCCTATGTCAAAATCACAAACAACTAATTATGAATGATGAATAATTCTTGGAGTACTCCACAATTCCAAGTGTAGAAGAAATAATCTACAATTGGATTGAGGAATTTGAAATTTCTTGTCAAATGACTCCATCCAAACAACCTCGGTTGATTTGTTATTATGAATTTAAAATTTATTCTTTCAAATTATTCAATCCAAACGCACCCTAAAGATTTAAACCCACTATGACGAGATAATTATAGCATCAAAGTTCTGACGGCATGCCAAATATAATAAATACCTTTAGTTAAAAGATATTTGTTTAATGAGTTCAAATTTAGAGCAGGTATGAAGATTTTCATACCTTCAAGGGGCCAGGACAATCAGAATCACTCAAGTAATAATCGAGGCTCCTACCATACTCCTCTTCAAATTCATCACCACCGGTGAAAACTACAATCATATAGTTCATAATTTCGGGGCCAAACATATTCTGCAACATCGACACACCATCTTCTTCTTCTCTTGGAAAATGAGTTAAAATTGACATGACAAGAAGAATTGCATGGATACCATCCTTTGCCATTTTGATGCATTTAAGCATTTCATTGTGAATAAATTCAGGATCAACGGAATAATCCAACCATCCTGAATTATTGCATTGGGTTCAAGGCAAAGATATTGAACAAAACAAAACCCTATTTTATTTTTATATAATCACGAGACCCAAATTTAACCAAAAACAAATTGAAAGTATACTAATTAGTAATAACATAAACGTACCTGGAGTATCAATCACGGCAAGAGTTTGTCCATTTTCCATTAGAGTTGTTTGCGTCTCACTAGTGCGAGTAACAACAGTAGTTCTAACCACTGATTCGAATGCCTTTCTTCCAAGTATACTATTCCCTGTTGCACTTTTCCCATCACCTGCGTTTCCAACCAGTATTATACTTTTAGCCGCCGCACCTGGACGTGAAACCGACATCCCTCCGTAATCAAATTCATTTGCATCCATTTCCATTAAACTTGTCTGCAAAAGACCAACAACCATATACATTACGTAATTATATTAAACCTTTACAATAAACGGCAGTTCCATTAAATACTAACAACTTCCATCTGACAAAAAAACACATATTCACATTAACGGAATATTTGACAAAAATATTTTAGAAAATCAAAAATATAATTTTTTTGATTCAAATTGAAAAATATTGGTCCAAATTTGAAAATTTTCGTATCAATATCGGCAAAAATCGATTTTTTCTATTCCTATTTTCACCACTCGATCCAACAATATTTGAATTGGAAAAAGTTGTTATCAGATAGCACATAAATTGAATAAATTTTCAGAGTTTGCACATGAATTGAAGCATCTACGTGTGTAAAAGAATCAAAGAGCTGCTAAACATAACTGGATTAATTATCAAATCAATGAAAGAAATTAACATGGGAAATATTCTTACCTGGAAAACAAGGTGAAGCCAAACTCAGAGGAGAAAAGAAGAGGTGTACGTTTGTATTATATTATATACATACAGCTGTAATATATAGTAGCTATTAAGAATATATTTTCATCCCTTAGTAATTATTCCATCAGCTTGAAACGTCGTCCTAACTAATTAATAACACACTTGTGGGTTTTTTTTTTTTTTCTTTTTTTTTTTTTTTAAATATTCAGTTGACTTTATCTCAAATTGAAAAAGAAAGACTTGGGACAATGTTTGTATTAGTCTTTCAGGCATCTTTTAGCAAGCGTTACCCCTTTGATAACTCTAATTGTCGGAAAAGTCCCCATGTAAAAATAATTAGCGTTTGCCCCATGTTTTACCAAGTCAAAGTCACCGACCTCCTTATCAGCAAATTGTGTGATACACACGCGGTTGGTGCGACTTGTCGTTGTTTTTTTTATGTGAAAAGTCTCAAATATCCTCTAAAATCCTTTTTTAAATAAACATAAACTTAATTGTGCTTTAACATAAATAATCCAAATTTTTGGACCAAATTGGAAATTTTAGAAATTTCTTTAAAATGCCGTTCTATTCCTTCCTCTCCAAGATCGACCAGCCCCAATCTTCTCCTCCGGCGCCGGCGTAACCAGGGGCGGAACCAAGATCAAAATGTAGAGAGGGCCAACTAAAATTTTGGGGTTCGAGGCAGCGCCCCGAAATAAAATTAGGTTCACAAAACATTGCAAAAAATAAGTTTATATTACTAATTTTTAATTCAAATATCATATATATTATAATTATATCATATTTTAATCATCACAAAAAATTCTAAATTAATTCAAATTATTGTAATAATGTATTGCACCTTATATTTCGGGGATTCATGGCACGATCTCATCTTATTTTTTTAAAGGCATCGATAAAAAAAAATTCAAAATAAGTAATATTCATAAATTTTATTTTAAATAATACAAGTTTTAACCATATTATTTTATATTTTATATTAAATATGATATATTTTTCTATAATTTATATAAGATTATGGAGAAGAAACAAAAAAATAATGGGGTAAAACACATATTTACAAAACATTTAGGGGAGCCAAAAGTAATATTCAAAAAATACAATACCAAATACCTAAAAAAAAAAAAATCTTGGGGGGTCGACAGTCCCCCCATGCCCCTTACAAGTACCGCCACTGGCCGGAGAGAGTGTTCGACGGAAGGAGAGCGGCGGTCAGCTATGTTCACTTTATTTTTGGAAAATTGCAAATCATTCCCTCACTTAAGGAAGAAGAGGGCATTTCAGAAACTTCAAGAGACTGAATTAAAAAAAATAAAAATTTTATTTGGGGCTTATTTTTGAAATTCATAATTTAAAGGGTATTTGGGTCATTTCCAATCAAAAAATTGAACCGCATTCACATATTTGGCGAGTGTATCACACGACCAGCTCGTAGAGGCCTAATGTTGATTACACACGGGTGCCGGATGCCGAAACCTCATCAAACATAAATTAAATTCTAGTATATTTTTTAACCACAACATGCGCGCGGGAGGGAGTACTCGAAAGATACCAAAACAGAAACAAACATTGGCTGGCAGTATTAAGTTTTCAGATATGAGTTTTTTAGTCCTGTAAGTTTGCTAGTTGAGAGTTTTAGTCCACCATATTTCAAAATCAGAATTTTAGTCTTGTAAGTTACAAAAGTTGAGAATTTTGGTCCAATGGCCTGCTATAACATGTAATGTGATGGTTGGTTGAATGAATTGGCATTTAAAATATAAAAATAAATAGATTAAAATAAATTAGATGATGTGGCTAATGAGTTGGATGGTTTTGGGGAAAAAATTAATTCTCAATGTCAAATTCACCAAAATAATGAGGAAATTTTAACATATTAAATTTATATATTTAATTTATTTATTTTTGGTTATATTTGCAATAAAGAACCACAATAAACCCAATGAATAAAATCTACAACTATATTTTTATGAAGGAAATAAGACTAACTAATGTTTAATTAATATTTCTTAGTTTTTTTGATAAAAATAATAATTAAATTAATATTTATCTAAATATTTCATTTTTTTACAAATCTATACTTAGTGATTACAATGAAATTGAATCAACAATCAAATTCAACATAAAACCGAAAAAAAAAACCGTTTATTAAACCTTGTTGTAAAGTTAAATGACATGCACAATCATAATTAGTATAAGAAATCAATTACACATTTACGAATTAACCAAAAAATAATAAACTATATTGAAAACTCAATTAAAATAAATGTATCAAAAAAGTATTCTAGAACCTCCAAACATAAAATACATTATCAAAACATAAAATACATTATCAAACTAAGATTAACAAATATCCATAACGAGTAATAAAATATAGTTAATTACTATTTTTATCAATTGAAAACTATGAAATATTAATTAAAAACTAGTTACTGCAAAAATGCTTATTTCATTCATCAAAAAAATAATTTGATGGTATATTTTATTTCCCTCCAAAATTTTCCAACTCATTAGCCATATTACCTAATTTATTTTTTATTTTAAATGTCAACTCATTCAACCAACCATCACATCACCTGTTATTACAGGTCATATGACCAAAATTCTCAGTTTTTGTAACTTACAGAACTAAAATTCTGATTTTGAAACATAGTGGACTAAAAGTCTAAAACTCTCAACTAGCAAAGTTACATAACTAACAAACTCATTTTTCCTAAGTTTTCATGTAGATGCCGAAATGATTTAAAAGAGCCGGCGGAGTAAACGCTTAATTGATACAGAAAGGTCCATAACACAAAAATGCATTCCTCAAATTAAATTACGTACTTTTCAGTACTATATTCTTACACGTGTGTACATACATTGTCCTACAGCAGATCCGAGGTGGCCGGCTGAGGTATTAAACGTGTGCTAGTTACGTTAGAAATCACGGCAAGGGCTGAGGTAAGAAGTTTGCATGAGAAGTCAAGTTATTCTGCATTTTTGGTTTTCAAACTCCAAAATAATTCCACACGTCTGGAAAAGGCTAACCGACGAAACTCTTGACGAGGGCCACACGGTTTTCATTGGCTCGAAAGCGAACGCCGATAATCGAAGAAACAGCCGTTTTCATTATCTATCTAAGGAGTGATGGATGGTTGGAGATCAAGCTCGGAATTTTTTTCACCGATTACTGTACTTGATGGTGACGTGCAGGAGATGCCGGATATTTGAGAAGAATGGTATGTGGAAATCTAGTTTGATTGTCCGTGGTGTCGATGTACGGCTGTTGGGTACATGATTGAATAAATGTCATTATACATTGAAATGAACTCTAGGCGAGCATTGTTGCTTTTATACGATTTGTTGTATGCTACAGTCAGTGAACTTTATCGAATTATATTGTATTATTATACGTGTGTGGAGTGGATTCATACATATTTTACACATATTCATAAAAAATCAGCATATGTGTCTAATTGTTTGTAAATTAAAGATGAAAATTTAATTTAGTGTATTTTATCGAGCGTAACATCTATAATTTCATATTATTGATATCTAAAAAGGTGTTTATTAAATTGTAATAGTATAACTTAATCTTGTAGATAGTATGTAGGACATTGGACAGGCCCAGGCCCCGGAAATGACAAGGCCAGCCCACTTGATACACAACAATAATGTACCTACCATCATATTTTTAAATTTGTCCCATATTATTATTATTATTATTATTTGAAACAAGGTAAATATAATAATAACCAATTAGAAATTACATTTAGGAAAGCTCAAAATTCAGATAAATTGTACAATAAATTAATTTTAAAAAAGCCAAAGTTAATAATATAAAAAACATGTATTAATTCATACGACCAATTTCTTGGCCGACCTGATTTGACTCGTTCAGACCGATTAATCGAATTTTATCTTTTTGCACCTACTCAAACCAAATCGACCAAATATATAAATCGTTTGTCCTATTAAAATAACATAAGAATCAAAATCAATTCTACCACAATATTGCAATAGAAGAATAATATTTTGTGTCACGCAAAGATTGACATAATTAATGGAGTAAAAGAGCGTCGTTTAAGTCATGTAAACTATACATAGTTAATCTAATGTTACGAAACAGAACAAAGTTATTATTATTTTTTCTTGACTAATCTTATTTTAATAAGCGAAGCAGACAGTATCTAATAATTCTATAAGAATGGATAATTATGCATGAAATGTTATCTAATCATTTGATGATCGTACCATTTTCATGATTTTCTTGATACACTAATGTTAATTGTTATCAATTAGCACAAATTATTATAATATAAAATATATTACATTAAAATCTAATTAGTTAGCAAGCCTATATTTTGTCTTGTTGACCAAAAGAAACTAATGATTAATTACGTCATCATGTAATTTTCAAGATTCTTGATATGAAAATAATAATGAGTAGAATCCTGGCAAAAAAATGTGGCCATTGTTTATTATTTATAGTAGACCCGTGACTCATTAATACTTTATTTTTATATTATTTATTTCATGTTACATTGATTTGATTTGACCACTCTCCTCTACTGTTACTGCAAATGTCCTTTCGTTTCACAGGCTGCTTTAATTTTGTGACAATAAGACAAAGATTAACATCCAATTTGAACCTTCATTAATCTCTTTAATTGGTATAAGAAAACAATTTCAATTGGAGTTGTTGTTGCTACTTTATTAGGTAGTGTTTGTATATATAAGAGCTTTTTTTTAAAAATTTCATTAATTTTTTTTTTAAATAAGACGGATACAATATTATTTCACAATCAAAGTCCGTCATAAGTTATTTACAAAAATATCCTTACAATTTTATTAGTTAAACTATCAAATGTTGTTATTCAACCTCTGATCTGCACGTCTGTTTCGTCTCAGTTGAGTCAACTGATCTAACATTATTAATTACTTGAGTCCATGTGTATTTTAATGACATCGTTATTATATATCGTGTGCGTCGATAAAATAAAACATAAAAATAGATTATTACTTTGTAAAAAGCAAAAAAAAAAAAAAAACAAATTGCTATATACAATCGAGTTCATTGTAAAATGGATTCAATGTTTCATTTTGCATAGGGGTGCAAATAAGTTAAGTCGGGCAAAATCTTTTTTATTGAGCTTAATATTATATTCGAGTTTGATTGGATTATCAATTGGATCGAGCTCAAACGAACTTCTAGTCGAGTTGGACATTATTGAAATTTTGAGCATATTCAAATTTTTTTAAATTATTTTATTTTTTCTTTTTCAAATCGAGTCAAGCTCGAGCTGAGTTTCATACAAATAAAAAAAATTAAAAAAAAAGGCTAAAAAGAATAATTTAAGCATTAAATGATAAAAATAGAAAATAAGAATGGAAAATGGGGAGAAACAAAAAAAGGACAGGCAACGGTCATTAGACAGCATTGTGAAGGGCATATGCGTCCAAAACAAAAAATAAATAAAAAAAGCAGAAAATATTTGTTGTGATCAGAAGCTGACCTGGCAGTTGGCGACCGTTTAACAGAGCCATCTCCACCCCTATGATACCATCCTCTATTAGCCTATTTCCCAACACACACATTTACACACACACACACACACAGATATATGAGATATATATACACAAGCACGCATAGATACATACATGCAAATGCTAATACATGGCATTAATGTAATTTCGTGATAAAAATCGACCGGCGGCAGCGAATATTCGAAACGGAGTTGCTTACTTCGGAAATCTCTCTTGTTTTCTACAATGGCGGTCAATTCCGGCGAAGAGGTGAGGTTTCCTGGTTTTTTCCGCATCGGCATTTGCGTTTTCCTTCTCCAATTTGAGCTTTTTTTTTTGTTTTATTTTATTTATTATTGGCATTTTTTAGTAGCAGATTCCGTGATTCAATTATTCTGATTTGTTTTAGGGTAATTAAACCTAAGTTTTTTTCCCCCTCAATGTTGCTGTTTTCGTTGAAGATTTGGATGATTTTTTTTTTATTATTTTTTTTTTTCGATTTATTGATGATTAACCGTTGACCTTAATCGAATATAGTTTTATTTTAGAGGAACAATTTTTGTAAAGAGTTATTGTTTTTGAATTTATCACAAGTTGAAAAATTGGAGGTAAAATATGAGATACTGTAAAATCTGTAGTTATGCCAATTGGGGTATGGGGTATGAACTATTGCTGCTTATCTTTTGTTTCTGGTTTGAGGGGGTTGATAAACTACAATCGACCGATCTGTGAATGCAAGAGTTCTGAATCCGTGGTTTTGTGTGATTATATTCGTCTTGATTTATAGTTGTTTGGATATTAGGAATTGAGCTGAAATCTAGTTGCTACTCTATAACTTGACGCGTAGATTTGAGCTATTTTTCGCTGGAATATTATGAAGGTGAATCGGCATTTCTGGAACTTAGCGTATATTTGTTTTGAAAATTTATGATTTGGCATAGAAGTGATAGTTGATTAATTACCTTCTCTCGTACTTGCTGAAATTATGTAAGTGGTTTCGTGCACGCCTTGCTACAGAGACGACCTTTTATCGCTTTTGTGTTGCACATTAGCATAAATTGCTAATTTGATATCATTTTCATTTTATTGTATTTTTAGTTTGACGGGTTCTTTTACTTGTTTTTTGATTTATGGTACCTTACATTTGTGATGTGATCGTCAAAAGATTCTGTAGCTCTTGACTTTTTGCAGCCTTCTATTTTCTAAATTATGTGATATCCTTACTTTATTTTCTCAGTGCGAGAATATCCACAGCAACGTGGTTTTGCACGATGGAGGATCCACTAACCTGCAGTACGAGTCCCCCTCAAATATCACCTACTTGGCGGTTCCTAATTTGGTGAAGACCGAGATGTGCTTAAATGCGGAACCTAATTTGCAAAACCATACCACTCTTGAAGTGGATAAAGTGAGTAATTGTGTACCGTGCTTCTTGGATGTTGATATTGAGAAAGGAAAGGCAGAAATTGCTATGCCTAACGAAGAATCTACGGCCAATTCGAAGTCTGACGATTCCTTAGCAGTATGTTTCTTTTCATTCAAAGTCTCTACGTTGTACTTTCATTCCTTAGTGGATAAAAGTTTTCTTAATATGAGGCTAAGTCCTCCAACGATGGGTTGTTTTTTTTACAGAGGGTATTGCAGAGAGAGATTTGCTTACAAATAGGAGGAAAATTTATGCAGCTCTTGATGAACCATGGGACTGAATTACCCAAGTTCGCTTCACGAGGTAGTTGAGCAGCCACAACCTTCTCGGTTTTTGTTTCATCCGTTGATCTATTCTGTGCTTTTCCTTTATAATAAGTTTTGCTCATGCAAATTCAACCGAACGAGACCAATTTATACAATGCAAATTGGAGACAAGTGGTTAAATATCTTTGTTATATTCCCCTAGATTTACCTTGTTTTCGTATTTTAAGGATCAACTTTTGAGGCGAGCCTTAACCATCACCATTTGATGTCATCGAAAATAATTCATTCTTCTTTCTTCATATGATATTGTGCCGTGACATATGTTGATCTGTGAGATTCGCGTTTTTTTACTGACACTTTTTTTGTGGCAGAGAGACTCCATGATACGCCTACTAACCGATCCAGGAAATACAAGCGATCTGCCTCCTTCAATTCCTCGTTCAATTCAAGAAGAGTAGTTCTCCTCTTCTCAGTCTTGTAAGCTCAAATCATATCTTGCATATGTTATACTTTACATCTCAAGATCAAGTATGAGTTCTAAACAATCTGTCTATCAAATGTATTTAATAATACCTCGACAATCTTATGGTGCTTTTTCGTAGAGGTCATGGAGTGAAATTATCTATTGGCCAGTAATAACCCTTTGGTGGGAATCAATCACGAAAATACGTTGCTCGTGCAGACTTTAGATAACGATAACCTTCACAAAAAACCCAGGCTGTTTCTTCACTTGTTATTTATTTGGGTTAGTTACGAAAAGTCGAAAACCATTCTTGAGGGTTAACCTATTTACCAGAAAATCTAGCTAAGTTTGTAACTAACTACAAATGCCCTCTTGAAGTTTGTTTCTGTTTTGCAAATGGCACCTTTCAAGGGGTATCTGTATTTTAAAAAAAATTAGACGTTCTTCGTGTAATTAGATCACAAACTTTATGGATACGTTCTGTAGCGCACTATTTATTTTCTTGTACATG